TAAATATAGTGTATGTTTGTTGAATTCACTAAGTACAAGCTACAATTAAACACAGACAATGATGTGTCAGTCTGGGGATTCAGCTCAGTGGCAGTGTGCATGCTTGGCACTAGGTTCAATCCCCAACACCAAAAAAAAAAAGAAGAAGAAAAAGAAGAAGAAAGTGTGTGAGAATTGTGTCAAAAAAGAATAAGGGGAAGAACGAATGACTTGGAGTCTTTACTCTCAGAGGGCTCAGTCAAGGCCCTGAATGAGGAGTAAGGAGATTAAAAAGCTAGGAGACTTTCACAAGGCAAAATCCGGGAAGAATTTTTGCTTGCAATGAGATTACCCTGATCCTTGAAGGATTTGGCTCTCCCGAAAGGAGGGGGGGAAGGGCAATGTTAGGTGCCAGAACAGCGCAGGAAGAACGGGGAGCTGATCTCTTAGAGAGACCCATCAGGACACCTGTGCTGAATGTGGCCCCTTCACCTCCCTTCATTCCCCCCAAACAACCTTCATCTACTGCATGAACCTCCACAAAATTTGGAAGAGTGAAATGTAAAGTTACTTTCCCAATCACAGAAGTAAAGGCCAAATACCAGAGTAAACAATGAAGCAACCATAATGGGCAAAGCGGAATTTTGGTCAGAGACTGAAAACCCAAAAATCAAACAACTGAGTAGCGGTGGCTCTGGAAAACAAAGCTCTCAAGGATCACATAAGAGCCTTTAGACTTACAAACAAACTCAAGCTTCCAGAATTGCCTAGAGAAGCACAGCCATATTATTCAACTGTGCAGTCAGTTTGAATACTGGCATAGAGGTAAATTTGTTTTAATTTTTAAAAGTGTCTTTCTCTCTGTCTCTCTCTGCTAGTGATCAAACTAGCAGATCAAACTGGGGATCAAACTCACAGTCAGCCTTAGACACCCCTTTTTTTCCGATGGGTCTCTCACTTAATTTTGAGACATGAAACTACCTCCCACCTGAACCAAAGGCTATGAGGTGCCAACCAGATTGACTTTTTTTTTTAAGGTTTTCATTTCATTTTATTTTATTTTGGTTTATTTCCTTCTTTGTTTTTGAGACAGGGTCTCGCTATGTAGTTCAAGGAGATGTCAAACTTGCAGCAATCCTCCTGCCTCAGCCTCCCAAGTGCTGGGATTACAGGCTTTCGCCATGTACTAACTTGATAAAACTCTTTCCAAAGGAGTCTTTCATTCAAGTGTACTTTCCGAAAGATAAGTCTTGATTTGGAACTCCTGACTCCCTAATTAGATCAACAAGCAAAAACACTCCACACCCAACAGCTAAAAGAAAAGAGGTAAATCTTCCATTTAATTCTTCTAAGGCTGGAATTAGCTACAGAAAAAATAAAAAATAAAAAACAAAGTTTCACTCCTGAAGATCAAAGAAGGCATTTTGTACCAAGAAACCTAATTCCAAATCCTCATTTCCAGGAATAAAGCCACAGTGCCCAATACTTGCCTGGGAAAATAAAACAGCAGACTCTATGGATTCCAATTAAAATTTCAGATGGTTTTATTTCCCAGCCTCCCCAGTTTAATGCTGTTAACGTTTTACCCAGACAGGGCTTTAACTTAAATGCTGCTTCCAGCTCTGAATGGTCACTTTACCACTCGATAACGGCGAAGGCATTTTAACACATCAGAACAGCATTCGGAGCCCACCTCAAGTACTAGAGGTAGAAGACAAGGTGACAGGAAAAGCACCAGCAGCAGCCTAAACCTTGTCTCCCATAACAGCACTCAGGAGAAACCCTCTGCAGCCCAAGACAACATTTTGGCCACAATATTAGAAACAAGAGTAGAAGGAGGAGAAAAATAGAGGAGACATACCTCAGCCTCACTCAAGTATAACAAACAATCAACTTGCTTTAAAAATCACTACTTGGGGGTCCTGCCAAGTAGCCAATAGTTCTTGTGTGCCTACTTCACACTTGGCGCCAAGCTATGTCTATTGTCAGCATACTGCAGTGAAATAGTCCCCAAGTAATCATTATGTTAATGATGATATGTTTAATTTCCTTTATCATTTTGTGAAAAAAGTATGTAGGTTATAAAGTCTAAAAATAAAATCAGCACCCATGAACTCATCCCCCAGCTGGAAAACCAGAACATCACAAATACTGGATCATCTTCCTACTTCTTCCACCCTTACCCTGCTTCTCAGTAACACACACATAACAGGTAACCATTATCCTGAATTTGAGGTTTCAGTACAAGTCTGATGCATCTTTATGATTACCTCCTATTCCTAATAAATTAGTTGGTTTTCCAAATATGGCAGCAATATATTGTTTCCTCTTCAGAGATGACATCTTTAATTGTTTTTAAAAAGCTGAGTTGATGCTTTAAAAAAAAATCATTAAGTATTTAACAGACTAAGTAAGACTTACAGTAAACTCATGAAGATAATATATGAATAAATGAAGTTTGGAAATTACCAGGAACAGTGGCTAGAAACATGGATTCCAGAGTCCCACAGACCCCTGATTCAAATCTCCACTCCACTGCCTAAATTTTCCAAGCCTCAAAGGGTAAAATAATAATCAAGAATATGGTGGTAGTGAAAATGTCATGAAAAACTGCAAGTTAAGAGCTGAGCACATCGTCTGGCACATAACCAGCACACTCAAATCATCCTGTCATTAAACTCACACAAACAAATCAAAGGGTTTTCCTACCATCAGGGACTCACTTACTTGTTCGTACGTCCTAATGAGTTAGACATGCAATCTCTTCACATAAAAATAAATCAAGATGCAAGGATTCAACAGCCAAACAAGGCACAGACACCAGCTCCCAGTCCCAGCATTGATTCCATCTTCACCTTGTGACCTTGAAGAGCAGGATCATTTTTCAAATCCATTTCTGCCCTGTCCCTCCCTCCCCCAGAAAGGCAAGACTACTCAATCCAACAAGGAGCCCTATCATGATCATCAAAGGCTGCTTCATGCAGATCTTGGATAAGATAGAGGCATATCCTCTATTTACTATCACACTTTGCATGATTACAGGAAGAATATCTGCTAGATTACTACTTTGAAAAGAAAATCATTATAATGTTTATTAGGTCAGAATTAAGTTCCTTGCTTCTGAAATGCACTCCATTCCTACATATGACATCTTTCCTCTGCAACCTTAATATTCTTTTAAATTACTGTACTCAGAGATAACAAGAAACTTATTCAGGTTCAAATAATCACTTTTTCAAGATGTAAACGTTGGTGAGACTGTTACCTAAATCAAGTTTTATTTAAAAGCACTCTCCATTTCAAGCAAAAACAAAAACAAAAACAAAATCAGCAATACAGCTGGAAAGGGAATCCATGAACCCCAACTATTCCCATCCCAGCACTTGATCTTTGCCATCTATCCATAATTTATCTCAACATCATTCAGTACCTTTGAGTATTTACAGGAGGGTCACAGTAGAAATGCTATTATCCAACACAAATTACATCAATAGAAGGCATACATTGCAGCTTCAAAAGACTTCCACTTGTTAATTCCCTGACCCCCTCCAAAAAAAGCACCTAAATCACAAAATAAGTGATCTAATCTTAGAGGAAGAGCCAGATCCTATCTAGACCTATAATAACCTCCACACCTAGTGACAAGGGCGATGCCACATGTCATACTTAAGCAGTCTGCACACTATAAGGCGGCAGGGCAGGGCAGGCGGCAGGGCAAGCAAGGCCAGTGTCTGAGGTCAGCACAAGTCTAATGTCTGCTGGCTCCCCAAGCCCAGGCCCCTGGCCAGCAACCCACCTTCACGGAGAAGTGCCAGGACATACTATAGTGTTTCCATTTAAGGCCCACCATTTGGATCAGCCCATCTCTTAAACTTCTTAACACCACCTTTCCAGGAAGAATTTTTTTGGGGAAAGGGAGGTGGTGTCTATTTTTTGCCACCGCCTTCCCTTGGGCTGTCAGAGCAGTCTCTGGGACAGAATTTTTTTTTTTAAATCACTGGGTTATGTCTCAATTCAAGGGCCCATTTTCAAAAACATGTAAAACATGGATAGGACCAATCTTTTCCCATCATGTAACACCTATCTCACATACCTCAAAAGATAAAGAAAAGCCCAATAAAATGAACAAATCCATTGTATTACCTTCTGCCTCGCTCCACAAGCCAAATTAATGACAACGTTTTAAGCAAGACTTTTCTTCTGCTATTAAGTGGAATGTTTTCTTCCCTAAGTAGCTTTCTCCACAGTTCCCCAACCACGAAAGGAGCGTTCAAAACTCCAGGGGAAGCGGGGGGGGGGGGGCGTATATCGCACAAACTGGACAAAGCTGAGCGAAGTCTAGAACCCGACAAAAGTCAGCGAATACAGCGGCCTCATAAGCCACATTTCTCCCCAGCGCGCCCAAGGTTCTAGCCTCACTGTTTTGGTTAGTGTTGAAGGAAGGGTTTTAAACTTGGCAAAGTAACGTGCAACATCTGTAACCATATTTGCCTTCTGGGGATCGGAAGATGAATCCCACATTCCTGGCTTTGAAGCGTTTTAAAACTGCAGCTAGGAAGAAAGGAGGGAGCGAGGGAGTTGAGCAGAGTTTATTGGCTGTCTCTCCAGCAGAAAATTCTCTTGGAAGGGATGGCTACATTGAGGGTGGGGGAATTCGCCGATCTCTCTACTCTCTACGAAGCGCAGCTGGGAAGGTGAGCCCCGTGGCCCGGGTCGGATCGGTTTCCAAGTCCAAGGCGCACAGCCAGAAGGAGTTCGCTACACACCCACACACGCCGCGCGTGCGGCCCGGACCCGCTCCGCCGCCGCCCTCCCCAGTATCCCACCAGCGGTTCAGGCCCAAGGCAAGACAGTTTCGCTCCGCGGCCGCTTCCCCCATCGAGAGGCTCGGGCTCGGGGGAGAAGGGAACGGCAGCGAGGGGAGGGCACCACGGACACCCACCTCCCGCCCGGATCCCGCCCCTGCCCTCCGCCCTCGACCCCGCCGGCCCGGCGCGGCGCGGCAGACGACCTGCCCTCACCTCTGGTCCCGGGCGCCCGGGCTGAGCTGCGGGAGGCGGAGTGCGCGAGGCGGCCGGGTGCTGCGGGACGGCGCGGCCGGCGAGGAGCCCGAAACTCTGCAGGGCGCGGGGCCGGGACGCCCGCAGCCTGGGCCGGCGCGGCTGGAGGAGCGACGGGCTGACAGCGGCAGCGGCGGCGGCGGCCACCGGGGAGGGCGGAGGGCGAGAGGCGGGGTGAGGAGCCGGAGGAGGGAGGGAGGAGTCGGGCGGGCCAAACTTCCCGAGGCGCGGGGTTGGCGGCGGGGGCGGCCGGGACGCAGGGGACGCGGCGCCGCGCGGGGAAAAGTTCCCCCGGCGCCGATGGGGAGGCTGCGGCGGCGACGGCGGCGGCCGCACAGAGCAGAAGCCGGAGCGGGAGGAGCGGGAGGAGGAAGTGGCTGCGGCGCGCTCGGCCAATGAGTGTCTGGAGCTGTGATTAACCAGGCAGCAACACATCATTTCCTCCCGGCGCGGATCCAGGGAGCCGGGAGGGAGCGGGAAGGCGGCGCGGCGGGGCGGGGCCGTCCCCGCGCCCCCTGCAGGCGCCCGGCCCTGAGGGAGCGGCCCAGCCCCCGAGCCGGCCGGGAGCAAGCCGCCGGGCCCTGCGCCCCGCGCCGTCTGTCTGGCAGGCTGGGGCCGCCGGCGCGGGTCTCCTCGGAGGCGACGGGCAGGCCTGAGCCGGGCTCCCGCGGCTGGGGTGGCAGGAGGAGAGGCCGCGCGGCGCGGGGAGAGCCCAGGTAGGCGCGGGCGGGGCGTCTGGACAGCTCCCGGGGCGCTGGCGGGCGGGACGTCTCGCCGTCTCCCTCCCGCTCCCGGCCCTGGTCCGCGGGCCGCACGCTCCATTCTGCTCTGCAGGCCCCGGGAACTCCAGCGTTCTCATCCAGGCCATTTCTGACCTCACTTCAAATCCTCTTCCACTCTGCTCTTTGCCTCCCAAGGTCTGCCCCAAGCTCTTGCCGTGTTTACAGTCGGCTTCTTTTGGAATAAACATAAGCGTGGGGGCGGGGGAGGGGGGGGCTTCTGCAGTAATCGAGCCCTGTCCTAGGCGCCATGGGAGCTTACAGCAGAAAGGAAGGAACATTCCCCGCCGCAGAGAGGCTGACAACTCCCGTCCTTGGATACACACAAACACCCCAGTGTGCTAATATTATCCAGAACATCCAAAAGGCATGCAAGTATCAAATTTTGCATGGTGCCTGCTGAGTGTAAGGAAGCACCAAGCCATTTTCTCTGCCCTCTAGAAGCTTATAATGTGCAGCCCTATCACAAAGCAAAGTAAAAGCATGATACCAATAAATGGGAAAACCATAAAGTATTTTTATCTCTACCGGTCCACTCATGCAGAGGGCATTTATTGGGTGACTGTCTGCAGTACTGCAAAAGGTTACACAGGAGGGCCGGGGATTTAACTCAGTGGTTCTGCCGCCTGCCTGGAAAGTGCAGGGTCCCGAGTTTGATCCCCGGTACCAAAAAAAAAAAAGATTACACAGGAAATGGAAGATCTGGTCCTCGCAGGTCAGGAGTTTACAGTGTAATTAGAAGCAGGCATATAGACAGGGAACAACTAGAAAATAATGTCCAGGTGTTACATAAGAATCTGGAGAGGGTTGGAGTGTATTTTTTTACCATAAGGACAAAGGCTTTGTATGTATGTGTTCTGTAGGAATCAGGAAAGGAAATTCCAGGTGAAATCAAGGAAAGAGTGCCTGTATGTAACCCTGCTTCATTGGAACAATAGAAAGGGGCCCTTGGTGTCCCTTGGCTGAAGTGTCAGCTCTGCCATTTATAAACTGTTCTGACCTTGGGCACACTTAATCTAAGAAGGAAATAATGGCTATCTCATAAGGTTGACATGCAGTTCAAGTGAGACTACACGCATAGGAAAAGTTTTCAGGCTGCTGTGTAAATGTCCCTCAATTATGTACGTTTACAGTCTTCATTTTAAAAAAAGGGCTTCTTGTTGGCAACCCTTATGGTCCTCTAGGTTGTAAGCTCCATGAGGGGCAGGAACCGTGTTGTTTTCATCATGTATCACCATGCCTAGCAAATTGGTATGCTTAATAAAAGTTTGCTGGATAAGTGAACAATGAATCTTTTTTTTTTGTATCGGGACTTGAACTCAGGACATTGCCCAAGCACTGCGCCACTGAACTAAATCCCTGATGGAATCTTATAATATTTTAAACTGTTACTTCTATCTATTCCCCATGTAGTTCCTTCAGTAGTGGTCTTATTGTGTGGCTGATTCAATGCAAAAATCCCATAACTGTTTCCTCTTGTGATTAACCTGCGTTCCAGGTGACTGTCTGGGGTAATACTGTGCAATACTTGTGGACTTGTACCCTGGATTCTGTGTATGTTATAAAGCAAGACAATTCACTAAAATACCACCTCCTGTATGGAGATACAGGCCCTATGCACACAAGAATACAGCCTTCTGGTTTAGATACCTTCTTCATCCAGGGTTTCTCAGCCTTGACGCTACATTTTTCGCTGGATAACTGATGTGCTGTCCTGTGCACTGAAACATACTTAGCAGCATCTTTGTCTTGTAACAACTAGATAGGATTAGAGCACCTTCACCCACAGTTGTGACAGCCAGACATTGTCATTATGTCTTCTGGGGTGCAAAATTGCCCCCCTTTGAAAACCACTGTGTTACCCCCAAATCCAGCCCATTGATTGAGCCCTGGTAGAAAATCACACCAGTAACTTGAAGGAAATGCATCTTCTGTTATTCTAAGATTTTCAGAGTTCCTCAATCATATGTTTCAAGAAGCACAACTTAATTAATTGCCTGCTGCATTGTGAATTGGCATCTCCTCTGTTTTCTGTGTATCTTCCTCCTTTACGCCCAGATCAACATGTTCATTTCCAAAAGTTAACAGCTTTGAGAAACTATTGGGAAACAGGGTCTTGAGCAGCTAAAGAGTCCAGTAGGATATTTTCCTATAAAATGTGGGCAATTTATTACATACAAATTTACAGGTAGCTTCTCTCTTATTATAGTTCAGCACTTAGACCTACAAATAATAATCACATTCTCTTTGTACTCAAGTTGCATAGGATAATAGGATAGAAGTTGTAATTTTTTAATATTTCACTTAAAATATTTAAATAACTACACTAAATAATTTTCATTTTGAAGCCATTTCTTTAATGTTCCAGAAAGAATATTCATTTTATAATGATAATAGAACACATTTCAATAAAACCTATACAGTGCCGGGGATTTAGCTCAGTGGTTTCGCTGCCTGCTGTGCAAGTGCAAGGACCGGAGTTCAATCCCCGGTACCAAAAGAAAAAAAAAAAAAAAATAGAACCTATAAAGCAAAAGTAGCTTGGTTGTACTCCCCCAACTTTCAGAAACAAATTCTTTCAAAGAACATGTTTGGCATATTGGAGAGCTGGTACTGTTGATGAATATATTGATGGATTGATTGCTGCAGTTCAATTTCTAAAGGTTTCTTGCAGAAAAATAAAGATTAATGATTGAAGAAATGAATAAACAAATTTGATAAATCAGCAAGGTGTGCTGGTGCATGCTTGGAATCACAGCATTCTGGAAGGCTGAGACAAGAAGATCACAAGTTTGAGGCCAGCCTGGGCTACAGAGTGAGTCTGAGGCCTACCTGGAATACAGTGAAACTCTGTCCAAAAAAAATCATAATAATAATTTGTTAAGTCTTTTCACTCAGTAATGGACATACTGAACAAACAACAAAACCCTTTTGCTAGCCAGCAATAGTGTGTGATGTGAACAGACATTTTTGTTTAGCAAAATAATATCATCTGTCTCATTAACTAAGGTTATTTGAAACCATTAAGATTATTTGAAGCATTTGTTTCATAGTTTTGGTCATGTTTAGTTTTTGTTTCATGGTTGTATAATGGTTATGAACACATGCAGACTCATGTATCTCTAGATTAGGGTTTGTTCACATTTAAATTGAATATTGAAGACTCAGTAGGTGCCTCGGAAAAAAGGTAAAGTTTGAGAGTTAAGTGTAATTTATGATAAAGTGAGTCTTCAATTTGTATTCTGTTAGACTAGACTCAGGACGTACACTCAGGGAGTGTTCAGGTCCTCTATGAACCCATGAAATCTGTGCTTTTGCTTTAATTGCAATGTTTTTTAAAGAATGTAATACATACTGTGGATCATATGAATGTTTGCCATACAGCCATGAACTCCTTTTTTGATGTATACCTATAAGGACATGTAGTTTATTTAAATGATGTTTTGAAAATAGTTTAAGACATCATTGAAGGTCCATAGACACTTTTTTTTTTCATTTTAAAAGTGTTTATATAATACCGAAGTGTGAGGAAAAAATGACCCAGTTGCATCATAACTTTTTTGTTCTTTACAGTACTGAGGAATAAACCTAGGACCTTCACATTGGGCTTCATGTCCTCAGCCCTTTTTTAATTTTTTTATTTTGAGACAAGGTCTCACTAAATAGCTCAAATTTGCAATCCTCCTGTATCATCCTCCCAGGGTGCTGGGATTACAGGCATGAGCCACCAAGCCCTGTATCGTAATTATTCTTACTGCATTTTTTTTCCTTTCAGGTGCTAGGGATCAAACTCAGGGCCTTGCATATGCTAGGCAAGCACTCTTGTCACTGAGCTACATACCCAACCTGCATTTTAACTGTTCTTTGGAAATAAGGAATTAAAGTGCTGGAAATTTAGTACTAATCTTGAGCCCCATGAGAAAACAATATTATGTTCTAAAGATGAAAATGATACAGAGCCAGGTGGCACACATCTGTAATTCCAGCACTTGGGAAGCTGAGGCAAGAGAATAACCATGAGTTCAAAGCCAGTCTGGGGTACATAGTGAGACCCTGTCTCAAAAAAAAAAAGAAAATGATTATATCAGAATAATGGGAGGTAGAAGAGAAAATCATGAGCTAAAAAGGTCACTAAAAAACATAGGAGGCAGGCTTAACCCTTTTCCTAAAAGGCAGATAGTTAAAGCATCAAGACAGACATTTGTTTATCAAGTTAAATTTCTAGGTATCAATAACTCATTAATTTCATACAGGAATTTATTGGCCATCTGCCATATACAGAGAACTGTGATGCTAGGCAAGAAATTCTCCAGGTGCCTACTGTGTAAGTGGGGAGGTGATGCAGTGCCTCCTGGCACAGAAGGTTAGGTGCAAACCAGTGTGCAGCTGTGGACCAACTACAGTATGTGATAAAAGAAATATTGGAAAGCTTGGGAAAATGATTGTTCATCAAAGCATGTCCAAGCACTTGGGGAAAATTCTGTTAGTGCCTCTTCTCACACCATTCCTGAAACTGTCTCCAGCAGAAGTAGACTTAATTTTTTAAGTTTTTTTGTTTTTTTTTTTAATTTTGTGATGAAGATTTGCTATACTCCCCAGGCTGGTCTCAAACTCAAACTTATAAATTCAAAGGAAGAAAAGGTCCAAAGGGGTAGGGCTAGTGGGAGGGGCAGGGGAAAGGAAAGAAGGGAAAGGAAAAAATGATGAGAAATGGAAAAAATGGAAATAAAGTCTTTGTAAATAGGGAAGGGTGGAGGGTGTGAAGGGAGGGCTAGGAATGGGGAAAAAATGAGAACCAAGATGCATTATGTAAAGGAACAATTCCCAGTGAGAAATGTAATTGTGTTGTATACCTACAATGTACCAATAAAAGAATTTAATAAAGTGCAAAAAATAAATAAATAAATAAATAAATATTCAAGAAATGAAAAAAAAATTTATAAATTCAAGCAGTCCTCCCACCTCAGCCAACAAAGTAGCTGGGACTACAGGTACGCACTACCACACCTAGCTAAGAGTTAAGTATTTCATTTTTAAATCATAAATTAGGGGGCCAGGGATTTAGCTCAATGGTTCCACCACCTGCCTTGCAAGCAGAAGGACCTGAATTCGATCCCGGGTACCAAAAAAAAAATCATAAATTAGGGCTGAGAATGTAGCTCAGTGGTAGAGCATTTACCTGCCATGTGCAAGACCCTGGGCTCAGTTCTTAGTACCACAAATAAATAAAATGTAATCATAAATGAACTCAAAGCAAATACTCTCCTTGGAGTTAAAATGACTTTCTAATAAAAACTTTGGAGGGGGCTGGGGATTTAGCTCAGTGGTTCCGCTGCCTGCCCCACAAGCGCAAGGACCCGAGTTCGATCCCCGGTACCAAAAAATAAAAAATAAAATAAATAAAATAAATAAAATAAAAACTATGGAGGAAATGAAAGTTAGATTTGTTTGCATGTGTAAGAACTTCCCTAAACCTGGTGTGGTGACACAGGCCT